GAGTTGGTTAATGAATTACACAAACTTACATTAACCAATTCACGTGAGTATCACCTCAGTGTGGTTTACAATTATCCTGTTGTGGGGAACAGAACAAGTGGTATTCAAATATCAAGTGACTACGATATGAGTCTCATTCATGTCTTACACGACGAGAAGCGTTCGATCGAATTGTTCATTGAAAAACATCAGAGGGATTTGGGCAAATCGTTGAATTACGAAGGAATGTATTCCCGCATGTTGGAGGACCCTGAAGTTGATTCTGTAGGCTTTTTATCTCCTCAACAAGAACCATGTTGGACACAATCACAATACATGAGTGGTTCTTCGTTCGTGGGCACTTCGAATGCTTTCGATACTAACACGGGAATTCAAGAAGATAATGCAAGTGTCGAATCAAAGAATGATGACGAAGAGGAGAGATTACAAATTAATAACAAGACCTTGATAGATCGCGATGACGGGGAAAACCAACATATCGACGGTTGTTATGCTAATAATGAGTATGTCGTATTAGAGGATCCGCCGCCCGATGAACTACAAGGAGATGAATGGATTGATAACGCCGTGATGGAAAGTGTTCCTATTGACACTAATATCGGGCCGGCAGTTACGGGCACCGATGATCATAGTTGGCCGGAGGTATGTGCCCGACTTCTTGGACAGGTTCCTGACTTGAGGAGTGGTGCGATGAAGCTATCGTGGCTTCGTCAGACATTTCAGGGCGACATACCAAAGGATGCCAGTATGGAGACGCTTCAGTTCCATGCTTGTGGTTACATATTGCACATGATAGGGTGCATGCTTTTTCCTGATGCAAGCAAGACTCTTGTACATGCACGATGGCTACCGTTGCTAGAGGATTTTGACGAATGCGGTGCACTGTCGTGGGGCAGTGCGGTGTTGGCATACTTGTATCGAGAACTGAGTAGAGTATCCCTGATGCAGAATAAAGAATTCAAGGGATGCTGCACATTGATACAGCTTTGGTCATGGGAGCGCATTCATATTGGACGCCCTACTTTACTTGTGCACCGTGACCTACAGGGGCAGTTTCCTTTGGCGTTCAGGTATAATTGTGCATACAAATTTTATTCGCACTGAATTTGTACTTATATATTCTCTATTCTGCATATAGGTATAACGTGCGGTACGCTAAGTACCGATCAGCGACGCGTCATCGTGAGTTTTACCGAAATGAGCTTGATGGCCTCCAACACGAATAGGTAAATATAAATCTCAAGTCGTTATGAATATTATAGTTTTGTTGTTGATACTGATAAATGTTTTATTTTATTTCAGTTCAAGTGGAGACCCTATACACCGCCGGAGCTCGATATGCATTCTCTTGCACCTATCTGCCGAGATAGTCCCGACTTGTGGAGAGCCAGAGTTCCATTGATTTGTTGGGAGATCATGGAGATGCATGTCCCTGACCGTGTGCTACGATAGTTTACGCTCTCTCAGCATGTGCCAGATCCTGTCAAGCAGATCTCTCGTCGGCGGCGACCTACTTCGCACCATACCGATTGGGTCGTAGTCCGTGCGGCCTACATAGATAGGTGTGCTCACAGGTAGGATTTCATCCAGGATATGAGGCCCACAACTGTTGACTATACCGCGTATATGGATTGGTATTGGGTATCACACGTAGATGGATCACACGTGACCCACAGCCCTTAGCTGGACACATGCCACGGCTACCGACAGACAGTTACATCCCCAGTGGGATGAACGAGAGAGATTACGTAAGTTTCTAAGCTAAATTATAATATATTTTTCTTGAGTTTGTACTTAATAAATTATTTACCTCACAGGTCCGTGCTTTTGATAGCATTGAGGCTGATATTGATGCGACCGTGCCTGAGATTCAGGATCGGGTGGCGTTAGGGCTCCTCAACAGGATCAAGAAGACCATAGCACAGGTGTTTCATAAGATTCACGTCGACGAGTTCGCAGGCCGTAAGGACAGGTCTCGATCATTTGGGCAGGCGTACACTCGGCGCCGACGACCACGTGACGATGACGGCGGCACTTCGCATGCTGATGGAGCCGGCACTTCGCATGCTGATGGAGCCGGAACTTCACATGTACACAGCTGGATAGCCGGCACTTCGCAGCCTCATACACAGCTGGATACTCAGATAGTCGAGGCTCATCAGCGCGGGGGGTGGGGAAGAGCGAGGGGGAGGGGTAAGAGAGGGAGAGGGAGGAGAGGAGCTATATTGGGTTGTATTTGAACTTATTTTGTTAAAATTTGTAACTTGTATGAATTTTCAAATACTATATTTTTATTGCAGTAATTATTTTCAAATACTATACTTTTATGGATCAATTATAGCTCGATATGTGATCTTTTTGCGTATTGTTTAATTCGTGCGTGTTTAAATAATATATATTACAGTAATTATTGTCAACAGGTAAATAGTTGTATATATGAGTTAAATAGGTAGACGTATACAAAACATGCACAGCAGCCTGTGCATGTTTTGTAAAACCTGCAACTTCACGGGAGTTCAACTCTCGTGAAGTTGCAGTCTAAATTTCCCAGAGAGCGATTCTCTGGGAAATTTGGCGTGTAACTCCACGGGAGTTCAACTCCCGTGGAGCTTTAAATATCGCAACAAACTCCACGGGAGTTGAACTCCCGTGGAGTTTATTCAGGAAAATAATCTTCACGGGAGTTCAACTCCTGTGAAGATTAAAAGAGTGGTAAACTTCACGGGAGTTGAACTCCCGTGAAGTTTCGTAAATTTTTTTTAGAAAAACCGACCTGGTTTCAGCGACAGTGCTGAAACCAGGTCGGTTTTTCTAAATAAAATAGAAAGAGGTCGTTTTTTGCAATTAAATAGTTAAATGAGTTGGTTTTGAAAATTTGTCCCGCAATCCTCTTTTACAATTGTCACAACCAAAAGGATGGTGCTTTTTTTTCCTCCTATAAAAGTGAGAATTTAACTGTGGCAATTTTCAAAGTGAAAATTAACTTCATTTATTGTAACGATAGCTACAAATAGGGATATAGGGAGATAAAACCCCATTTTTTGTATTTTGATCAAAAATGTTGTTTAGTTCGCGCTTTAACGCGCGAGCCAACCC